CGGAACTGTCTTTACAGGTTTACCCACGTTGTGGGCTTGGCAGACAGGGCAAGCCAGACAGTAATCTTTGGCTGCTTGGGAGAATTTGGGAGCAAACCAATTTTGTTTTAAGGATTGCTACCATCCCCCCTTTGCCAACGTGCGACAATCCATGGAGCACGGAGGCAAGGTGAGGTAGCAAGACCACTGGGGCAACAATGTGGCCATCAGAGCTGCACCACAAGTGGTCTGGATGCAAGGTGCACCCTGCCAGTCTCCACTCCTGCTTTTCCGATTCTGGGGCTTGGTCTTGCAGGAGGGCCCGTTCTGACAGAGATGGCAAAGGAGCTGGCGATGGTAGGAGAGAAGGGAAAAATAGCAGGTAGAGGAGCAGATTTCACTACATTCTAGACAGTACAAACTGCATAGCCGGCTACTAAAACTCTACTAAAATTATAAAAGCAAAAAAGCCATCTGTGTAAAGCACAAAGTTAAGATTATTCAAGGGACTTAAATTATTCTTTCATTAAAACAACAATATTGTACACGCAACAATGTTAGAAATACATATATCACAATTAAGACACACACAAGACAAATCCGGACAGAACACAGAACACAAACTTATGTCATGACACAGAACCATGGGGTTTTTTTGTTTGTTTTTAGTTAATTTTCAGATGATATTAGCACTTCTTGATGATCTAAAAGACAAAGAAAACATTTCTACCCACATTGGGGTGGTGCATTATATTTTAGAACACTTTTTCTTTACAGATTTTTGCTACTTTTTGATCAGCCTGCTGTTACCCAATGGTATGCTTTTATTTTGAACACTAGCTTCAGAGGGTTTGAGTAAATTACTTCATTGTTTAATTATTAAGTTAAAGGTGGCATGCCTCAGTTTCCCTCTTGTACTGCAGACTAGGCTTTTTTTACTGCTACAGAAACTCTCTTAGAACAAGGTGCTTGCTAGTTACTATTCCAGCAAGCAAAAAGGTTTTCCTTTCCTGAAAAGAATCACATGCAATGTTACAGACTTACTTATGGGGGACAGTGCTCCCCCCCTTCCAGAACAGACAGGCAGTTTGCAGACACACACAACCTTGGATCTGAAAGCAAGCCAAA